AGAGAGAGAGAGGAATCCGAGGGTGGGTGAACGGACTGCAGGCTCCGAAGAACCCCAAGGCGGCGCCTTCCGCACCGAGCTCCTGAAGGGCTCAGCCCGCAGACACGGCGGCGCTTTCGCGAGGCGCCTGAGTCCTGGCAGCGAGAGCGCCGAGAACGAAGCCAGCCTGGCATTTGAAAGCACGCGGGCCTGTTGGAGAAAAAGAAAGGTTACTAATGTAGTCCAGATGCCTATCAAAAAACCAAGAGTTCCTCAAAGCTCCTCGACAGCAGGCTCTCGAAAAAAAAAAAAAAAATCCACGTGAATCCTACTATAAAATGACGGCAGTTCAGCTCCAGGGTGGCGTCTATATTATCAAGGACGCTCAGGAAGGAGTAACTCCAGGACAGCTAGAGCGAAGGAGAACTCAGGATGTCAGACGCGCAGAGATGAAACGGGCTGCAGAAGCTAAGAAAATTGGAAGCCTTAAATCAGAGCTCCATCTGCTGGATTTCCAGCGGGAGCAGCAGGGTACGCGTGTGCTTTTTTTTTTCTGCGGAACCGGGGATTGAACTCTGGCCCTTGCACTTATTCTACTGAGCCGTCTCTCGGGCCCGTGTGCTCTTTCCTGACACTAAACAACAAGTGGAACGCTTTGATGTTGCCACTCGGCAGCAGACAGCCCGGCGCTAGCGAGCAGAGTCTTTAACAGACCCAAGACAGGCCTCGCAGGAGGAAAAAGTGAACGTGGTGACCCTCCAGACTCGACTTAGGAGGACGGCGGAAGACGCACGCAGGGCAGCTGCCTGGCGCAGCGACTGCCCGCGGGAAGGAACCGCTCACCGGTGCGCGGAAACCCGAGGCACGCGGAGGTCTCACGGAGAAAACTCAACGCGAAGATGAAAAAAGGAACAGAGTCGTCCGAAACGCTGAAGTGGTATAGATAAGCCTTATCATTTACATAAAAAATATTTCAAGTTTTAGTAAAAACTTCGAATTCTATTAGCTCAGACAAGCCCAGGCGCACTCAGGGCGGGGCGGCCGCAGGCCCATTAGCTCCACGCCGCCTGGCTTCCTGCTCGCGACCGTGAGTTATTACTGATGTCTTCCTATGAGTACTAGTAAAGCCCCCTCTCCCGTGTCGTTTCCGGTTTGTCAAATCACTCCTATTCTTTTATACAATACTTACCCCTTTTTTCACTATGGAAGTTATATATCATTACAACAAAGTAGAAAACAGACGAAACAACTTCTAATTTTAATACTTATTCAAGAACGACTGGCCCTTGCTGGCCTGGTGCGACCTCGGGTCAGCTTAGTCTAGGAGCCGTGTCTGAGCCGCGGGGAGCTGAGGACCACCCAGATGCGGGGTGCTGAGCACACGCGGACCCCAAAGGCCGGGCCAGCACAGACCACGGGGCTGAGGCGGATTAATAAGGACCTTAGCGATTTGGCCTGGGACCCTCCAGCACCATGTTCTGCAGGCCCAATTGAGGCCGGTATGTTCCTCTGGCAAGCCACAATCATGGAGCGTCATGGCAGCCCACACCAAGGCGATATATGCTTTTTGACAATTCATTTTCCTACAGACTACCCTTTTAGGGGGCCTGCCGGTTAGCTCGGTGGCTTAAGCACCTGTTTCTGCAAATGCAGTGAGGTGCAGAAAGCCACAGTTTGATCCCCAGCTCCTCAAAACTTATCAGACCCGCCCTTAAAGTAGCCTGAGCCAGCCAAAAAAAAAAAAAAGAGAAAAAAAGGAAGAAAAAGAAAAAAAATTCCTTCCCTTCAAACCACCTAAGGTTGCATTTACAACAAAAATTTATCATCCAAATATTCACAGTGATGGCAGCATTTGTCTCAATATTCCAAGATCACAGTGGTCTTCTGCTTTAACTGTTTCTAAAGTTTTTTTTATCCATTTGTTCACTGCTGTGTGATCCAAACTCAGATGACCCCCTAGTGCCAGAGATTGCTCGGATCTCTAAAACGGAGACACAAGTAAGACAGAATATCCCGAGAATGGACTCAGAAGTGAGCCATGTGATGCTACCTTCCAGTCAGAATAACCTGTATTACAGCTGGAATACACTTTAAATTACTGTTCCTTTTTTTGATTTTCTTGTCTGGCTGTTCCTCTATCAGATCTCATCTTTTTTAAATTTTATTTTTTGTTTACCTCCCTCCATTCATTCACATGCTCATCTGAGAAAACTTAAGTTCTTCTAGCTTTGCACAATAACTGCTTTTAGAAACTGTAAAGTAGTTCCAAGAGAACAGGTGCCCAAGATTCAGAAATTTTTTTTTAATGGAGTATGTGTATTATGTCTTCACTCTAACTTGGTTATGAGACTAAGCCATTCCTCACAGCTCTAACTGCTGAAGCAGGCATCTGAGGGGGAGACAGATGCTCGGTTAGCTCACAAGGAAGCAGCATTTTTCTAGCAGCATCCGTTCTTGTTAAGCCTTCCACTGTTAGAGGTTTGAGGTTATGCAATATGCTTTATGCTCATAACTGATGTGGCTGGAGAGCTGGTATTGAATTTATAGCATCAGCAGAACAGAAAATGTGATGTATTTTATGCATGTCAGTAAAGGAATGACCTGTTCTTGTTCGACAGAAAATGGAAATTGGACCTCAAACGCTCTTTGTATTCCCAAAGTAGGGTCTCCAAACATTTTGTAATTTTCATTTAAACTGTTACAAGGCTTGGAGCTATTAGTTAATCTATCTTCCAATACACTGCCTAACATAGCACTGAGCAAACGATGCAAGTTATCAATGGATGAGTGATCAGCTAATAGCTCTGCTAGGAATTGATTTATTTTTCTTCAATGAAGTTGCATAAACCAAAAAAAAAAAAAAAAACTAATAACTATTAAGTACTGTGATCTAAACAACTGAGGTGAACAATTGTCAGCGTTGTGTTTTACTTCATTTTGTAAAGTTGTGAATTCGTTTTTATATTTTTGTGTTTTGAGACAGCAATTGAGACTGGGCGTGCTGGTGTGTGCCTGTAATCCCAGCTCTCTGGAGGCTGTAAACAGGGGGATCACTATGTGTCCGATCTAGTGAACACCCTGTAGACCCTTCACTAAAAAACAAAAACAAAAAAATTTACATCCCCCCAAGAATTAAATAAATAAAAATAAAAATCTGAATCCTTTATGCCTGCTTGCCTGGTTGTACACACACACTAGCAAGTTTAATAAGTAACAAATCAGGTATAGATGAAGAGGACTTCCTTAGCTCATGTCACTAATTTCTTCCAGGTATGATGTGTCAGTGCAGAGTAAGACTGTACACCAACATCACTCCTCTGAGGCATATGGTTTAGTGCTTAGGCAATTCCCTCCATGAACATAGCTCTTATTACTACATAATAAGCTCTGTCAATAGAATATGCCAACACTAAAAAAGTTATGACCCCAAGGAGGCATCTCTGAGCTGGTCAAATCAGTGCTTAAGAGCAGGGTCATAAATTTGTACAGCCAACATGCTTGTTAAAGATATTGGAGTACAATCAAAGGTGATTTGTTCGCTAGGATAAAGAATACACAGCCTTTGGAATAAAGTCATCTGCACAGCAGTTCTGTAGATGAAATATATTCTCTGAAGAAATCATGCACCTGCTCAAGTCCAGCTGACTACGTCTGGAGTTGTCAGGCCTTGCCGCTGATTTCCAAGTTCCCACCCCTCCCACTCTTCCCCTATGCTGGAGCCAGCATCTTGGCTATGTTAAGCTTCGTATGTCTGCATATCCAAGCTTCTCCTTGATTCCGTCTTGGAAGCTGCAGAGCTTCCTGGTCTCTGGATCGACACCCCGCCTGCACGGTCTAGCTCAAGTAGTGTGAAAGTGGCCAGTGACACTGGAAAGATCACCCTACACATCCGTTAAGTTACTATACCATTGTTTTGAGACTTCACACACCAGACATGGTAGAGTTAATTTATCTTTACTGATAATTTAATTTATCTTTACTTTTGTGTTTCGTAGTTACCATTTTAATAACCCAGTTCTATGCTACAAGAACCCCAGGGTCCTTTACAGCAGTAGGTTAGTTGGACAAACCATTCCTGGAGCGTGTGTAGTCTTGCTGTGTGAAAAGGGCTACCCCGGGATGAGCAGCTCCAGGTGAGTGAAGGAAAATGAGGATGGAGTTCATGCCACACCCTAAATCTCCACCGAGCTCTTCCTTCCTAAGAGGAGGCAAGAAGATGAAAGAAGTTTTCAAAAGCAAAGAACAGCAGGGAGGTAAGATGAATGTTTTGGTCTCACATAAAATTTGATTTATTTCATTTAATCAGTTTTGGGGAGTCATTTTTATGACTGTCTGATTTATTCTAAAACAGAGGATGCGTGAACACCAAGGGTCTTCTCCCTCATGTCTCCTCTCCCCCAAAGTCCTCCTATCCATGCCTGTTCCCGTTCCCCAATATTCCTACCCCCAGTGTCAGTAATTTCCTCTGAAAATCAGTACTATCACATATAACAAGGACTAATGAAATGAAATCCCTGTCATTATACCTTCCTAAAAGAAATTTCCACACTTGGGCCAAATTTATATGAGGGATTTCTTCCCATTGATCTACTTATCCCTTACCTGCTTTTATTTACATTTCAAATATAGTATTTGTAAAGAATATTGCACTGGTTTTCTATGTCTAAAAAAATTAATTTTTTGCCACGTTTGTCAGTAGTTTCTCAGAAAGAACAAAAATGAATTATCCAGCCAGATCCTTTTCTCTTTATAAACACAGAAACCACTTCCTGGGGAAGTCATTCTTTCCAGTGCAGCACGGGGGAAGTCACCAACTATAGCTATCTCATCCTCACGTTGTGTTTATGTGAGCATTCTTGCTGTCATACAGATTTAAAAAAAAAAAAAGAGGCGTACATGAATCACACGGTTGATGACCTAAACGTTGTCTCTCTATAAAAGCTGGGCCACCAGAAGGTAGGGATAGAGGTCTAGGGGTTGGTGGCCAGCACAGGGGTGTGCTTGAGGCCGAGGACATCAGGATGAAGTGCCTCACCATCTTCGCGCTGCTGTGTCTGCCAATCTGCTCATCTTATCCACTGAATGGAGCAGCAAAGGAAGAAGACCTCGATGACCTGGACTTTCCCCAGGTAATTAACGGCCACACACCTTGAAGCTCTGCTAGCTAACACAGGCAGAGAACAATACCAAGCAGGATGACCTGATTAAGAATTATTTTTTTGGACTTATTTAGCATCAGAGAACATCAATGTGCTAGAGGTGAAAATTCCTTTCCTTTCATCTTAACTGAGATGGAAAGCAAGGCCAGGGGAGCTGAAATGGCTGTGCAAGGTTAGAATAAAAGAGCTGCTGCAGGTTCAAGGCTAAGCGACAAGTGGGAAAACAGATGAAACTTACTTTAGAATTACTTTGCTTAAAATAATTGAAGGGGAACAGTGTGGTTACGTTAGTCTTTATATGAAGGAATAATCCTTTTGTCATTATTTGTATGTGTGTTCGAAAGAACTGGTCTCTTGGGCCAGCCAAATAGCTCAGTGGATTAAAGCGCCTGCAAGCAGGAACAGCGGTGGGGGATTCCATCCCCAGGCCTGCTATAGTGGTCCTGCCCCCAATTGAGACAGCAATTGAGACTGAGTAATGGTGCATGCCTGTAATCCCAGCTCATGGGAGGCTATCAACAGGAGAATCACTACGATTCCGATCTAGTAGTGAGACACTGAACACACTGTAGACCCTTCCCTAAAATAAAAAAAAAAAAAAAAAAGAAAGAAAGAAAAAAGAACTGATCTCACTTTAGTCTTGAAGCAGGTCTACATGAACAATGTGAAGTAGGAAAAGTTAGATATAGTCACCCAGTGAATTTATAATATTATGCTAATTCTTTTGCCTGGCTAACAAATTAAATTGCAATGAAATAATAAGGCATATTAATGAGAAAGCAAATTAAGTGTGGCACCTATGTTTGTTTCAAAAAATGGGATAATAATCAAAATAGATTTTGAAATTGTGATTAATGTTTAAAAATCATAAGAATTACTTACATATAAATTGTGCTTATTATTCCATTAGCGATACCTGGAATACTACTACAACCTTGGAAAAGACACAAAACAAGTTTATAGAAGTAAAGACAATGGTCCTGTCATTAAAAAAACCCAAGAAATGCAGAAGTTCCTTGGGCTGGAGGTGACAGGGAAGCTGGACTTGGACACCTTGGAGATGATGCGCAAGCCCAGGTGTGGAGTTCCAGATGTGGGCCAGTTCCACGACTTTCTCGGCACGCCCAAGTGGAGGAAAAACCACCTCACTTACAGGTAAGGCATCTAAAGGGCTTTAACATGGTATGGAGGGCTGGGGAAATAGCTCAGTAGACTAAGCGCTTGCCTGGTAAGTGCAAGGGCCTGAGTTCAATCCCCGGTTCTTAAAAAAAAAAAAGTATGAAAAAAAAAAAAAGTATGGAATTTTATCAGCTGTATCTCAGGTAAAAATCCTGCCTTCTTCATTGTTCTCATGCAGGATTGTGAATTACACACAAGATTTGCCACGAGAGGCTGTGGATTCTGCTATAGAGAAAGCTCTGAGGGTCTGGGAGGAGGTCTCCACACTCACATTCTCCAGGATGCACGAAGGAGAAGCCGACATAATGATCTCGTTTGCAGTTAGAGGTACTGAAGTAAAATATCCACTCATCAGATGTTTTGTCACTTCAGGCTATTAAAACAAAATCCCTTGTGATGGTTTATTTATGAACAATGGACATGACTCTACTCACAGATCTGACTCTGAGAAGTCAAAGGTCCAGGTGTCAGTAGACCTTTGGAAAAGTGGCACATTCTGCGTACATGTCATGTTCTGTGTCCCATGTGGCAGAAAGGCCTGGAGGCTCCGCAAGCCTCTTTTGTAAGGACTCTGATCCCATCCACAGAGACTTCATGGAATAATCATAAAGGTCCTACCTTTTAATTCTACTGTATTGGAAATTAACTTTTAACATACAGACGTCAAGAAGGTACTAACAGTCAGACCATAGCATGCGATGCTGATTGGAAAAGGGTAAGAAGAAAGAAATTCTGAATACTTATACTACTGTTGTTTCCCCCCCTGCTAGAACATGGAGACTTTTATCCTTTTGACGGACCAGGAAAGAGCTTGGCCCATGCCTATCCCCCCGGGCCTGGATTTTATGGTGATGTTCACTTTGATGATGATGAAAAATGGACAGAGGACACATCAGGTGGGTTTTAAGCCTCTGATGGTGGTTTCAGAAAAAATGTCTAGCTATCCAAGAACAATTTCACCCAGAGGAGAGGTAAGGGAATATCCTAATAAGTGAAATTTCTGATCAACTGAGTGGTAAACAGGAGTACTCTTCATTCAATCACTGTTGAAGAATTTTGTAAAATTTATGCAAACTCTTTGTTGTCTCACCAGGAGTTATATAACTATAAAATCCTATTTTCACACCTCAAGATCTAGTGAGCTTTTAGGACCAGTATAATTAATAATGTTTGGTATCACTTTAATTATAAGTGATTAATGTACAATGACTTCTACTAAGTCAGTTCTGAACCTAAAATGTGTTCTTAGGGTTCTGCTTCTTGCTCATTTGTCTCTTTTTCTCTTAAAAGTAAGTATCAAGAGAAAATGCCAGGCACCAAAGGACATGTCTAGGTCACCTTTCTATAGAGGCCCATCGTTATCACTAGCTCAGGAGCATTGTTTCCCGAGTTGGTTCTGAAAAACCCCAGTCGTACTAACACACAATGATTCAACTTTACTGCATGCTTTCTTTCTTAAAATGAGATTTGGAAACAGACTGCCAAAGCAATCCCTTTTGCTGAGACTGGGAGGGATCGTTAACACAAACAAAAGAACATCTCCACCGATACAAACCTGCAGCTCAGCCACCTGGAATAATATTGCTTTATTCTTTTCTCAGAATTACGGGCAGCAGTGGCTAAATGCTAGTAATAAAACACTTTATAATATAAAGAAAAACTGAAGGCAGCTGTGTTTGCTGCTGGAAGCTGCATTTAGGCATGTTTCTGTTTTAAACTAAAGAATGTACATATGCAATGGTGACTATACCAGGAAGATTTTTGATAATTAAAAATTAATTGAAGAATGGGGCGTGGTGGAGCACACCTGTATCCCAGCACTTGGGAGGTTGAGACAGGAGGATCACTCTGAGCTTGAGGCCAGCTTGAGGCAACAAAAGTAAGCGTAAGGCCAGCCCAAACTGCATATGAAACACTGTCTAAAAAAACAAAAAACTTGATTATGACAAAGAGGAAGAAAAACAAACCAGGCTAAATCCCCATGGGAATCAACCATCAATTTGTTGCTTAAGAGTTTAATGAATGTAGGGCTGGCCAGGCAGCTCAGCAGATTAAAGTACCTGCTTGGGCAGACCCAGGGGCTTTGCCTTGCCGGCCCAGCCCTGAGGGCACCCTGAGACAGCAATTGAGCCTGGGCATGTTGGCACATGCTTGTAATCCCAGTGCTTGGGAGGCTGAAAACAGGAAGATAGCTACTAGTCCAGTCTGCGTAGTGAGACCCTGTAGACCCTGTACTAAATACATTTTTTAAAAAACAGTTTGAGGAAAGCATAAATATTTGCAAGTTAATTTCAGCCAAGGTGGAAACTGGCAGGTATTAGGAAATATGAACGTGACAACCTTTTACTTTTTAGACAATCAAGAGCTATATGTATTGATATGCTATCAATCTTGGCCCTTCCAAAGAATTAGCCTTTGGAAACTATGTTCATCACTGTAAGTATTTGGGAAAAGAACCAGGAAACAACTAGAGAGAGACATAGTGAAAACTTGTATGCTGACCTCAGATCAACCATGAAAAGCGCCAGCATTTCAGTCAAGTATGGAATCTGCCAATCAATGAACCACATTTCAAGGGAGGAAACAGAAGGTGTGATGCAAGCGTGGCTTGGATATCTAGCGTATGTTTTATGTGTGTATTTTCAAAATGAACAGCTGCGAAGACTTTCAACATCTATGGTTTCTTAAATAGGAACCAATCTATTCCTGGTCGCTGCTCATGAACTCGGCCACTCCTTGGGTCTCTTCCACTCGGATGACCCTGAGGCGCTGATGTACCCACTCTACAGCTCCTTCAGAGACCTCACTCAATTCCGCCTTTCGCAGGATGATGTGGATGGCATTCAGTCCCTCTACGGTGAGCGATGCTGGAGGACTTGCAGAGGGGCCACCTGCAGTGTCTGAGAAGATCAGGAAAGCGTGTAAATGGGCATATGTACCCCACCTTGCCTAACGCTTTATCTCCCCCACCCTGTGGCCTTTAGGACCGCCTCCTACTTCTCCTGACACCCCTGTGGTGCCCACTGAATCTAGCCCACTAGAGTCTAAGATACCCGCTGCATGCGACCCTGCTTTGTCCTTTGATGCAGTCAGCACCTTGAGAGGAGAAATCCTGTTCTTTAAAGACAGGTGAGAGTGGAAAGTTACGCTTTCCTATCTGTTCTCATGATGCACAATGCTTAGAAAAGGAAAACAAACTGAAACTTGAATGAAATATATCCTGCACATTTTAGAATCATAACATTTAGATTGGATTCTGTGTGTGTGTGTGTGTGTGTGTGTGTGTGTGTGTGTGTTACTAGGTAATGAACTCAGTCCCTTTGCACCCAGCTTCATGGTATCACTAATTTGTGAAGTTGTACAGATTGGGCTTGAATTTTTAATCTTCCTCTCTCAGCCTCCTAGAGTGCTGGGATTATGGGTGTCCACCACAGTACCTGGCTATAATCTGCTTCTTACTACACTTTTAGCAGCTCTTTAGAATAACCCAGACTATATTTTAAAGACTTACAAAGAATGATTCTTGATTATTAGAACACAAATTCTATAAAGGCAAAGGCTTTTATCTGTTTTGTTTTTAAATACCATCAATCATGGAACATCTTTTAAAAATACTATAAATCTTGAGAAGCAAAGCAGTACCTTTACATTTCTTTTATAAAGTCACTATTTCACTGAATTGGTCTTAGCAAAAAAAATTACATATACTTCCCCACAATATTCAAATAGTAGCGAAAGATAGTTATAAGAAAAATCTTCCCATCCCTGACCCACAGTGGCCCAGTTATTTCCATCGTGCAATCACTGTTCCCAATTTCCTTTGTGTCTCTATTCACATACAGGCATAAGGAGGCACACAATATTTTGGAGAAATATTTATTGGCACATAATATAAACAATGATTTATAAACTTTCAAAACAAAGTTAAGCTAAATAATCATGTTGGAACTGATCGATATTCCTGCCCTACACTCTGGAATCACCCACGGGACAACCCAATACTACAAAAAGAATGAATTAACATTAACTGCAAGAAAAGAAGATTAGGGTTGCTTCTTTTTTAAAAAAGTAATTTTATTGAGAAACAAATAGCAATGAGACAGTTTCAAAACTGATTAGTAGGATAGTTTCAATAATTAATGTATTGCATATTGTTGTCTTCTTAGTGGTTATTCATAGTACAAGATGCAGACATGATATTCTGTCCACAAACTCTATTAGTACAAATTTTTCTGCTCATTGAATTAAGAGAAAGTAGCTGTATATATATATATATATATCCTAACTATTTTGAATATACAGATACAAAATGGTCCTTCATTTGTATCCCCTGTTTTTTAGTTTTGTCAGAGATAGGTATTCCATTGCCACTTAAATATTGTAGGTGCTTGAATTCAGCAAAGTTATCCAATATAGTCCAGTATTCTATAAGAGTAGTGTGGCAATGTCAGAAGCTGGCAATGTCAGAAGCTATTGACTTGAGCCTTTTACAGCTCAGCATATTAATATGGATTTACTTTTTATACTTCATTTTTATATTTTTCTCCTGGATGGTTAAGACCAAGATAAAGCAAGACCTATATAACAAGAAATGTAACTTTTGTATCTGACAAGGTCAGTCAAATCTCCTCAGGTACAGGGTTTCAGGATAAATCCTGAGGGTTGTTTCTTTGTGTATCAATGTTTCTCTGCTTATTTAAAGGAGAAAGACAATTGAAAACAATTTTTATATATTCCAGATATTTGTGGCGTAAACTCCACTGGAAACCCCAACCTGAGTTTCATTTGATTTCTACATTTTGGCCCTCTCTTCCATCAGATTTAGATGCTGCTTATGAAGTTATTAGCAAGGATACAGTTTTCATTTTTAAAGGCAAGTACTATCCACAATTTTTAAATTATTGCAATAAGCTCTATTGCAAAGATTTCCTTGACTATTCCCTTCGAAATGGGAAAAGGAACTAGGGAGGGGTAAAGAAAGGAAGGGAAAAGAAAATGATGAAAGAAGGAAAAAATGGAAACAGAGCTTTTATAAATAAGAATGGGAAGAAGTGTTGCAAGTAAAGTAGGGGAGTGGGCAAAAAGGATCAAGATGGGTCAGGTACAGGAACAACTTCTCAGTGACGCATGCAACCACTATGCATACTTCAAATGTACCAAGAATTTAATTAATGTTTTTAAAAAACCTTCATTGATAAGTGTTTTCACTATTATATTGTTTTTATTAAGTTTTAAATGGTTCATTGCTGCAAAAATCTACTGTCAATGCTTACATGAGCTTTGCACAAAAAGCATTTTTTAAATACTTGATGCAGACTGAAATCAATACATGCAGCATCTTAAATCTCCATTTAGTTTGCTATTTTAAAATCTCCCTACAGCCCAGGAGTCAAGAGGAAAAAACCTGGGAATAAAAACCAAACAAAAATAACATATCAACATTTGTGGAATTGTCGTATTAGAACAACAATAATAGTGAATATCTTATAGATGGGTAGGAAATTGTAACATAACTAAAATCATTCATTTCTGCACACACATACATTTTTTAATTCAAACGCCATAGGCGTTATCCTAGAACCTGACCGATTAGCTCCGTAACTTAGGTGGAAAGGCCAAGGCCGCGGTAGCACATCTATTCCTGAAGAATGGTGATGTGATGAGAACAGCTCTACGCTCTAAGCGTCTAAGAAGCAGTACAGTACAGGATCAGTTCAGAGAGAGGTAAACTGACCAGGGAGCTATCTAGGCCGGGTGGCTTCTCTGTCAGATTTTTAAACTACTTTTTAAACTTGTTCTCTTGGTCATGTGCTATTTGAGCTTCTGTTGTTTTTTAAGTCAGTTACACACTTGTATAGGAATTTACCAACTTGTCTATTTCCAAATCAGTTGCTACGACGTTTTCAGAGCATTGTTTTGTTGTAATTAACTATGGATGGATTTTCTCTTTTTCTTAATTTCTCATATTGATTCCTTTAAGCTTTCTATAATTCGTTATTATCTCAAAGGATATTTATGCGGAAAAGACAGTGGGGACGTGCTGTACTCTTATTCGTTCATCCACCCATTCGCTCATCCAGGCACTCACTCGTCCAAGAAACATCTGCTAGGTACACCGGACACTCGTCATTGTGCTAGTGGCTCCGACTCGATCCAAGCTTTCTCTTTAGCACAACAATGCCATTACAATCATTTCTAAAACTAAATGGCTTCATTCAGAGATTTTTGGGACTTTTTTTTCCCTAGGAAGTAAGTTCTGGGCTCTCAGAGGAAGTGAGGTACAAGCCGGCTATCCAAAGAGCATCCACACCCTGGGACTTCCCCCAGCCATACAGAAAATCGATGCCGCTGTTTCTGATAAGGAAAAGAAAAAAACATACTTCTTTACAGGGGACAAATACTGGAGGTAAGATGCGTAGGAATTTCTTTGGAGCCTAATCTTGTATCTTTCATGCAGAACCTGCCCACTCCACCTCTTTCTCTAACTTCAGGTATTCTCAGTATGAGGAAGACAGCTGACAGCTGCTCAGCTTCCCAGATAGAAAGGCCCTTCAGAATAGTGGTCCCTCCGTCATGCGTCCAACACAGAGCACAGACATCAAGAGAGACCAACAGGAGGGCCACATCTCCGTTGTGTCCTCTGGCCTGTCCCATGTTAGAGTACCAGGTGTAGCAGACTGGAAACAGGTTCTACAGCGTCCCATTGTGATAGAGAATGCGGAGCTTGTTTTTAATCAAATTTCTTGTTTGGGGTTTTTGTTTTGTTTTGTTTTTGCATTTTAGGGAAGGGTCTACAGGGTGTTCAGGATCTCATTACTAGATCGGAGTCATAGTGATCCACCTGTTTACAGCTTCCCAAGAGCTGGGATTATAGGTACATGTCACCACCCCCAGTCTCAATTGCTGTCTCAGCATGCCCTGGGGGTGGGGCTGGCAAAGCAGGCCCCAGGGATCGAACCTCCAGCCCTTGTGCTTGCTTGTAGGCACTTTAATCCGCTGAGCTATTTGGTTGGCCCTTTAATCAAGTTTCTTAATTCACTTTGTATCTTGTATGTGGTCCTTGTGTATTTGTGGCAGGTAGGCAGCCAACTTCTATGTGTCCAGGCTTAGAAAGCTGACCTCAAACATATGTTTGGAATCTCTGAAGAATAAAGTAGTGTCCCTTTTCTGGGCAGAATATTGTTTTATGTGATAAGCTCATAAGCCCAGGAAAGTCACATTATTATTGTATCCCTACAATGTTTACCATCTCTTTGAACAACTCGGAAAGTTTATCTAGGATTCCACATTAGAACATTAACATTATGCCATAATGTTTGCATCATGGTGTTTCTATAAAATATTGAGCTGGATTTCTCTCCATTGGTGCAGATTTGATGAGAAACGACAGTCTATGGAACAAGGCTTCCCAAGACTTATAGCTGATGACTTTCCAGGCGTTGACGGGAAGGTGGACGCTGTAGTCCAGAGCTTTGGTAAGACAACACCCATCTTGCTGGCAGTGGGGGTACTCGGGTATTGTACAGCGTCAAACTGAAGTGAAGTGTGTTCGGAGCCACCTCTGCACTTGCCCATTATAGACGGTAGAAATATCTGCATAAAATATTTACTAAAGCTTATCAAGCTGTACACTTACAATTTGTAGATTTTATGCTATATAAAAGATGCTGCCATAAAGTTGCTAAAATGTTTAAAACAAGAAATGAAAAATCAAAACAGTTTTTTAAATTATCAAGTCTTTTTTTTTTTGTCCTCTTTTTGAGACAGGGTGTCACTGTGCAGCTCAGGCTGGCCTTGAGCTCACTTTGTAGCCCAGGCTGGCCTTGAATTCACAACGATCCTGTTGCCTCAGCCTCCTGAGTGCTGGGATTATAGGCGTGTACCACCACATCCAGCTTTCAAATCATTGAGCCTTAAATACTTTTTACATTCCTGAAAATTTTAACTTTCTAAATACACAAATTAAATTTCGATTTTATTCTTCTCGAAAAGCTTCCAAACTTTTATTTCATATGTACACGCAAAGGGTAAACTTCCTATCTAAAACCAAAGGGTACAGCTTCACACAGATCCCATTATTTTTCTGCCCATTATGCTGCTATAAAAATACAACCAGGTACATCCCAGCTTACTGATGACTAAGTTTCACACCACTCTGCCCCTGCTGTTTCCTGTCCCGTCCCACCAGACTCTGTCTAGCTTGCTGTTTGCGTCATCAGTTGTTTACTTCGGTCACCGTGAGTTGTTACTATTGTTAGTCAGTTAAGGGACCCCCCCCCCACCAGGTGCTCAGATGACAAAGTTCAGCTGGTGCGAAGGGCAGGGGCAGGTGCAGCCCCGGCATGCCCTGAAGGGACTGTGGAGGGGGCTGCCACGCCCTGGCAACCGCAGCACTCATGCGGCTGGTGCCCTGGTACAAAAATAACTTGGCCGTACGTAATGCACATGAAGCAGAAAATGAACTTCAGTGCACTGTATCACTAGTCTGATTCGTTTTTGAGTTCAGTTGCTTTCAAACTGTGAGTTACTACCTAGTAGATAATAATATGAAGGTAAAGGGGGAAATTGGATTTTAAAATACCATAGAATTCCATCTATTTAAAGGCAGCAAATCTAACGTTTCGGGACACTGAAATGAGACAGAGGAGATAGGATCCTCCCTCCATCTTTCAATAGAAATGTGATCTTGGGCAATCCTAAAGCCTTCCTAATTCTCATTTCGTCCTCATTAATGATTCTTACACTGTATTTGCAAGTAAAAATTAAATAAATCATATAATACACCCAGCACAGTGCCTGACACAGAGGCCCGTTTAATAAATACTACCTTTTATTTTTTAAATTAATTTTATTCAGAAAGAAATAGCAATGAGACAGTTTCAAAACAGGTTAGCAGGACAGTTACAATAATTAATACATTGCATATTGTCTTCATAGTAGTTATTCATAGTACAAGAGGCAGACATGATATCTTGTCTAAACACTATTAGCACAAATCTTTCTTCTTATTGAATTAAGAGAAAGTAGCTGTATATCTATCCTATTTTGTATATACAGATACAAAATGATCCTTCATTTGTATCCTTCTTTTTTGTTTAGTTTTGTCAGAGATGGGTATTCATTGCCATTCAAATATTGTAGGTACATGAATTCAGCAAAATAATCCAACATAGTCCAGTAGTCTCTAATAGTAGTGGATTATTCCACTAGTCTCTAATAGTAGTGGATTATCCACATGACTGGCAATGTCCAAAGTTGTAGACATGAGCCTTTTACAGCTCAGTATATTAATATGGCTTTACTTTTTATACCTCATGTTTATACTTTTCTGCTAGATGGTTAAGACCAAAAATAGACCTGAGGATCAACTGAATGGATTAGACAATGCCACCTCTCACTTTTATTCTAAGTTATGTGTTGAAATTTTGACACGTTGAAGAATGTCTCATCATTTTCTTCATCTCTGATTACAGGGTTTTTCTATTTCTTCAGTGGATCAACACAGCTTGAGTTTGACCCTAATGCCAGGATGGTGACACACATATTCAAAAGTAACAGCTGGCTACTGTGTAACCAAGACAGGGAAAAGACAGATGTGGGCTTTTAAAATGAATAATGAACAGTTTCCTAATTTACTGTGGTCAAAATGATAAATTATGCCTGTCGGTGCAGTGGCCAAAGAAGACGAGGCCTGTCCACGTCCTTGTGTCACAGACCATTGACTAAAACATTTTACTTTTTTTTACATTGCACAGAAGTGAGAAATATGCATTATAAGGAAGAGAATGATCTGCAATAACTGTTCTATTTATTATTTAATAAAGATTTTTATTTTTGTCCTGTTCCTTACTGTGTAATACAATTCCTGTTTAATACACTGACCACAGTGTGACTAAGTATTTGTTTCACTTACTCTTCTCTTGTTGCTGGGACAAATACCCAACACTCAAAATGAAAGAAGGAAAGGTGTATTTAGCTCACAGTTACTGAAGGTTTCAGTCCATGCTCAGCTGGCTCCAAGGCAGAACGGCACATGGCAGAGGGCAGCCTTTCATGGTGGAAGCAAAGAGCAAGATCAAAAGAGGAGAGTAGCAGCAACAAAAAGGAGGAGTAGCAGCTACAGAGAACAAGTCTGTCTCCATAAGTTGTATTCAGACTATCTACCCCAGACTGGGAGTAGCCCTCACACCTATAATCCCAGTGTGTCATAAATTAATCACAAAGTCTAGAAGTCGGCTCCATGGCTGCATGAGGCTTTTGAGGGACGACAAGACACAAACCATAACATTCCACCTCTGGGCCCCAAAACACTCACACACATTCCATTGTGCAAAAGGCATTATAGTTCATCTCTAACAGTTGCCAAAGTCCTAACAGTTTCAGCACTGTTGAAAAGTCCAAGTCCCAAGTCTCCTCCAAGACCTAAGGAGAACTCTTAGCTGTAAGCTGCTGTACAAATGAAAAGTTAAACACTTCCAACATTCAATGGCACAAAATAAGCATTACCATTCCAAAAGGTATACACAGCAGGATACCAAGCACTGGGACTAAACCAAGTCCAAAATTCAGGAGGGCAAACATTAAGTCCTACAGTTCTATTTGGACAATCCAAAACCATCTATGGCAAATTGTGTGCTCCATGTGGCTCCACCTCTGTGGCACTTTTGGTGGTCGTGGCTCCCATAGCTTCTCTCTCAGGCCTGCTTTGCTTCCTCTTTTCAGTTTCCCTTAGATGATCCATGTTCTTTGTTTTTCCAAACTTCTGGGGTTTCCACTGAACAGGCTTTCTCACTCCCAGCTTTGTACAGGGCACCCTGTCTGGCCTCCCAGGCCTTCTGAAATTGAGGTAGAAGCCTTCTTAACCTTAGAATTCCTGCATTCTGCAAGCACCTAAAACCAACACCACATGGATGATGCCAAGGTCTGCTGCCAGCTGAAGCAGTAGCCAGGTTTTCCTCTCTCTTGGCTGTGGGGCTCAAGTGCCTGGATTGATGAGAACTCTGACCCTGAGTCTGAGTAACAAATTCTCTATGCTGGCACCATTCTGGAACCTGGTGTGGCCACTGCTGCCATTCTGGAACCTGGGGCTCTGCAGCTTTCCCTTCAAGGCAAAGGCCCTCACCCTTGCAATTCTGAGGCTGCAAAGGGTGGAACCTGCTGTCTTCAGTGATGCTCTCAGGCCATTCTTCTTTTGTTCCTTCCTGGCAACGGAGATCCTCTCAGTTCTATCTTTGCAGTCCACAGCTTTATGGGAGATTCCTTTCTGGCCAAACTCACAACATTTTAAGTCATCCTGTTGGGCTCTTTGCTCTTAATTCTCAACATAAATCTGACTAAAAGCCCCCAACAATAGCTATGCCACTGCCTCAACATTTGGCTGCTTTGAAATTTCATTTGAAAAACTAATCAGTCCACCATGCTTAGGCAAAGTCTCTGGACACAAGCAAAATGCAGACAAACTTTCTGCCAAGCCATAACACAAATGATCTAGAGTCCAACAACCAGTGCAGTCCTTCGCCTCAGCAGAAACTTCCCCAGCCTGTTTTTATAGGCAGGCTTTCTATCAGCCTTCTGGTCTTCTGAGATCTGGCCAGAATCTCCCATACAGAGCAGCTAAAGCTCTGCCTGCACTTCTCTTGCAGGTAACATCTCTGAATTTTTTTCTGTTTCTTCCCATAAGCCATTCCCAAAAACTTGCAATCCACATGGTCAGGTTTAGCCACAGCAATGACCCCACTTTTCTGGTACCAAATTCTATCTCAGTTACTTTTCTCACACTGGTGGGACAAATACCAAACACTCAAAATGCATGAAGGAAATGTTTGTTCAGTCCCTACTCAGATGGCTCCAAAACAGACTGGCACATGACAGAGTGAAGCCTTTCATGGTGGAGGCAAAGAGCAAGAGCAAAAGGGAGGGGTAACAGCAACAACCACTACAGAGAACAAGTCTGTCTTCCTTAAATTGCATACAGACTATCTGTCCCAGGATGGGAGTAGTACTCACACCCATAATCCCAGCAGCACTCACACCCATAATCCCAGTGAATCATGAATTAATCACAAAGTCTAGAAGTCTGCCCCATGATTGCATGAGGCTTTGGGGGCACAACTAGACACAAACCATAACAGTATCTGAGAGATGCTAGTGGAGGTGTGACAGGATCCATCCTCCTCAGATTGACCCCATGATGGTCATATACTCTCTCCTATTATCTGAACCAGCAAAAGCTTTATTTTTATCACATAGATATTTTAAGTGTTCCTTACATGTTTAAATAAAAACAGATTGGTTGGTAGTTGTCTTGTACAATTGGTCGTAGTCAATGTTAGAAAGTAGCATTCTAGAATGTTGGATCTTATGAACATAGCAGCACATCTAGTCCACAGCATAATCTTACAAATTTGGAGTTCTGCCACGTCCTGTGTTAGCCCCATTGTTCCTTCACGGGCACTTCTTGCGTGCCCAAGAGATGAGACATCTCAGAACAGCTTTATCCTCTCTTTATAATATTCTCCTCTTGCTATTACATATCTGGCAATTCCTGGATGATAAGAATTCATCTGTAGATGCCAGCTATATAAAAGACTTATAACCACTAAGTTATACACTTTACACCATGCTGGATACAATCCACAAATGGCTCATTCTCTTATCATTTCACTTAAATGCCAGGTACTGCCATAGAGGCAAGGTATAGAATACTGAAGAAAATACATTTAACTTAACTTTACTGATTTTTGTCTAGTGGGGGAAAAAAATCAAACAAATGAACACAAATTAAAAGGTAGTCACTAGGTAGTTACAAATGGCAATGGTATTACAAAAGAAATGGCAAACAGGTAAGAGGAAATAATGATGAAGGAGGGGCAATCTGCTGAAGTTTGATTAGAGAAAGTTTCTCTGGGACAGTAGTGAAGGAAGCATGTAAATCAAATTAGGTAGATGGGTTGAGGAGGAAGACCATGCTAAGAAAATAAAATGCAAAATTAATATGGAGAAAAAATCTTGACATGTTCAAGGAGCTGGAATAACATGAATTCCTGACCAGAGTATTGGGGAAATAAGATGGTGCCAGACAAGTAGGCAAATGGAATCATCCAGGGTCTTCCAGACCTAGGCACAGGGACACGAACGTCATATTTTTAAGGTGCTGTGCATGTGTGGATGAGGTCTTAGAGAAGCGACATAATCATAGGTTGTGAATGAGACACAAACTGGAGAGATCTGGAAGGAAATGAAGATGGAAATCAGGACATACGGTAAAAAGCTTCTGTAGCTGGTGGAAAAGGGGAGCAGGGAGGGGGTCTCGGGCAAGACGGAGAAGCGACTGGATTCGAAGCGCACTTTGACAGCGCTATGGGTTGTGTCTAGTTGTCCTCCAGAGCTCATGCATTCATGGGGTGGGGACTTCTACAGTTTGAGATTCGCTGGTGGTCCCCTGGGATTATGGGTGTGAGTGCTACGACCGGCCTGGGGCAGAGAGACTGAATGCAACGTAAGGAAGACAGACTTCCTCTCTGTAGCCATTGTTGCTGCTGCTTCTCCCTTTTGCTTTTGCTCTTGCTGTTTTCTGCCGCCATGAGTTGCTGCCCTCTGCCGTGTGCCACTCTGCCTTGGAGCCAGCTGAGTATGAACTGAAACCTCCAGTAACTATGAGTTAAATAAACCTTTTCTTCCTTCATTTTGAGTGTCGGGTATTTGTCCCAGCAATGAGAGAAGAGTAACCGAGACAGCCACTGTTCAGATTCAGTGGTGGTGTAATGGCCAGGATAGGATATATCGCCCACTGGAGACCAAATTAAAAGGAATTGCAGAACCTGTATTAATTAGCCAGTGACCCATATGCTCCCATTCCTATCTGGGAAAACACAAAAGGCCCAGTTCCTTGTTCCTTACCTGCTTTTATAGTTTCTTTGTTGCTATGGCAACCGGGCAGGAATGTAGTGCCCCTATATGGTATAGATGTGAGGTCTCGGCCAGAGGATTATGGCTAAGCATGGGCAAGTAGTCTGTATCTTACTTCCCTACATAGGTCCTGTCTTTTCCTTAGCTCCTATACATTAATGAAGTTCTGACAGGGCAGGGGAGGGAGTGAACTACAGGGTAATTTAGGCAAGGCTGCTTCTATGTAAATACTTCAGGCAAGGGTCAAACTGAATTGAATTCTGCCTCAGTCTCTTCTACTTGTAAAAGTGAATAGGGTACAATTCTAGATGCCATTCTTTACAGTGGATTAGACAAAGAGTTCTAAAGGAGATGGAGATGTTAAGAATTGCTTCTTGGGGCTGGGGAGATGGCTCAGTAGAATAAGTGCTTCCCTGGCAAGGACAAGGGTCTGAGTTCAATCCCTGGTTTCACCAAAAAAAAAAAAAAAAAAAAAGAGAAGAAAAGAGTTGCTCCTAGATTTACTGAACAACTTCTCTAATTCTTCTTCTTTGACAGAATTAAAGAAGGAACAGAAGAGAAGCAAGTTTATGTGAGAATGTCAGGGACCACAAATCACAAACTGAGTCTGGGGACACCCAAGGCCATCCTTGTCCTGCCCTCTGAGTCAGGCTGGAAGGGAGAAACTCCTCTCTCTTTTCTGGGCACAGCTGGAGGCCCTGGGGCCTGGTGACTGCTGTGGTGCTCACAGGGCAAGAGAAGACCTGCTGAAGGTGATAAGTTACCTGAGAAGACTGCAGCTGTTCAGCACAGAGTGGGGACTCCATAAATGATTGATGAATGATGAATAAATTAATCCCTGGGTCCAAGGCGGATG